TACTTATAGGCCTGAACAAAATTTAAGGCGGCCTAGTTATGTTAATAAAACTGAAACCGGACAACCGAGTCAAACTGTGACATCTAACATGACGTGTACAGATGATCAAAATTCTATTTTGTTACAAACTGCTGTAGGTTTTGTATGTGCTAATCATAATGATAATTCTAGGGGATTGTATAAGAACATTGTATTTGATTTGTGTAGTCAAAGAACATATGTTACTGATGAAACACGTAGATTGTTAAATTTAAGAACTGTGGGGCGTGAAAATTTACTTATTAAAACTTTTGGGGAGGAAACTCCTAAGTTACGATTATGTGATATTGTTCAATTTACTGTTGCAGGTGATGATGGTTTACATTTGTATGTTACAGCGCATTGTGTACCTTCTATATGCAATGCCATAAGCGACCAATTAACATGTAATGCTTTAGTAAAGTACCCTCATCTACGGGGTTTGAAATTAGCTAATCCATCTGGGCCTTCTGATTTTGCAGTAGATATATTAATCGGGGCAGATTTCTATTGGAATTTCTTTTGTGGCGAAACGAGACGGGGGGAGTTCCCTGGCCCGGTTGCAATGTTGACGAAACTTGGGTGGGTGCTGTCTGGCCCTGTAATTAATAATTCGAGTAGTGACCAATGTACTATTAATTTAAGTCATACGCATGTATTGCACGTTAGTTCTGTATCTGATGACAATTGTGATGTATCTTCAATTAAGTCTGAGTTGAATAAGTTTTGGGAGCTTGAATCTTTGGGTATTCGTAATGACGAATCTAGTGTTTTGTCAGATTTTAATGATAATATCACATTTGAGGGTAAAAGGTATGAAGTGAAGTTACCATTTAAAGAAAATCATCTTAAAATATCTGATAATTATTCTACGTGTGTTAAACGCTTATCATCTCTTTTGTATCGACTTAATAGTAAGCCGGATGTTCTTAAAGAATATGATAGAATAATTAATGAACAATTATCTGAAGGTATTATTGATATTGTAAATGATGATGATGTAATAATTAATTCTGGATCAATACATTATATTCCGCACAGAGAAGTTTTACGCTTAGATAAGGACACAACTAAGTTAAGAGTTGTGTATGATGCCTCGTGTAAAACAAGTGGACCTAGTCTTAATGAGTGTTTATACTCGGGCCCTTCTTTAAATCCGCTTATTTTCGATATTCTCCTTCGTTTTAGAATGAATTCCATCGCTCTGACTGCTGACATACAGAAGGCATTTTTGAACATTGCCATTTATAAAGAGCATCGAGACTTTCTTAGATTCTTATGGGTTGATGATCCATTTAGCGAGTCACCTAAAATTAAAGTGTTTAGATTTAATAGAGTGGTCTTTGGAGTGACTTCAAGTCCGTTCATTTTAAATGCAACCCTTCGTTATCACTTAAGTAATTCTATGGATGATAACTTAGAAATTTTGAATAATATTCTTAAGTCATTGTATGTTGATGATTTTGCTTCTGGGGCAGATAATGTAAACTCTGCTTATGATTTATGTAAATTAGTTAAATTATGTTTAAATCAGGGTGGATTCAATATGAGAAAATGGTGTAGTAATTCGCAAGTGTTAATGTCTATGCTGCATGAGTCCAGTGATTTTCCTGAAGTAGAATTTGATGTTAAGAAAATGGAGACTGATGTAATCGAAGACGATACAGGTTATAATGATTTTGTTCAGAATTCAAATTTTGATTGTAACAGTGTTTTAGGTCAAAAGTGGGATAATAGCGCTGATATGTTTCAATTCGAATTTGATAAAATTTTGTCAAGTATGATTGTTAATGCAACTTTAACTAAAAGACAGGTTCTTAGTACAACTGCGAAATTCTTTGATCCAGTTGGTTTAATATCACCTATTGTATTACTGTTTAAGCTATGTTTTCAAAAGTTGTGTGAAAATCCTTTAGACTGGGATGATCCGTTAGATAATAATTTTTGTGATTATTGGAATAATTTAGTGTCTAGCCTATCTGCTGTAAAGGCTTTGCACATTAACCGCTGTATTTGTTATGAACTACGGCAAGCGAATTCTATTCAATTTCATGTATTCGGTGACGCTTCCGAAAAGGCGTATGGTTCTTGTGTATATATCAGATGTGAACATTCAGATACTAAAGAAATACACTGTAATTTAATTGCCTCTAAAACGCGTGTGGCGCCTTTAAAGAAACAATCTATACCCAGACTTGAGCTACTAGCATGCTTAATATCTGTTAGACTAGCTGCATGTGTAAAAGAAGCTTTAAAGGACATCGTAGATGCGCCTGTATATTTTTGGTCTGATTCTCAAGTCGCGTTATCTTGGATTAAAAATACTACTCGTGAGTTTAAGCAGTTCGTGAATAATCGTGTGGTTGAAATTCGTGATTCTTCTGACGTTAGTAAATGGTCTTACTGCTCAACTAAAGAAAATCCTGCAGATGTTGCTTCACGTGGATGCAAGGCAGTAGAATTGGTAAACAATGATCTATGGTGGCATGGACCACCATACTTGCTAAGTTCGACAGAGAATTGGCCGAGGAACGTTGAAGAAACTTTGAGTGAACCATTTTATTCTGAAGTTAAGAAAGCAACTGTTTGTGTCGCAAATGTCGAAACTAATCACAATATCGAAAATATACTAGACGTTTCCCGCTATAGCAACTTTAATAGCCTACTAAGAGTGACTGCTTATGTTTTGCGTTTCGTGAAGAATAAAAGAGACAATGTACAAGTCCAAACAGATCAATTGTCCAAGGAAGAAATTAATTGTGCCGAAAATATCTGGTGCAGAGATATTCAACATAGTTTGAGTGGCCGTAAATTTGAGCAACAGAGGCTATCGCTTAATTTAAAACCTGATGACAATGGTATTTTGAGATGTTATGGTCGTATAGATAATTCTAATTTGCCGTTTGATGCCAAATTTCCTATTTTCCTACCAGATTCTCATCGTTTTACGAGTTTGATTATTGAAAAGTGTCACCGAGATGTGCATCATAATGGGACAGCAGAGACTTTAGTTCAGTTGCGCCAAAAGTTTTGGGTTTGTCGCGGACGACAAGTTGTTAAAGCTGTGATTACTAAATGTATTCCTTGTCGTAAAATGGAAGGTAAATCTTATGGAGTTCCGTTAGCGCCTCCTTTACCAGAATTTCGACTTTCTGACGATTTCGCTTTTACAAATATTGGAGTGGACTATGCTGGACCATTATACGTTAAAGACATTTATTCTAAGAGTGGAGAGATGAACAAGGTGTTCATAGTGTTGTATACTTGTGCGAGTAGTCGCGCGGTTCATTTAGATTTAGCAACGGACGCTAGTTCTTCCTCTTTTATTAGGAGTTTTCGACGTTTTATTGGAAGGCGTGGAGTACCAACTTTAGTGAATTCAGACAATGGATTGGTTTTCAAGAGTGCTGAACTTCGAGCCTTTACAAATAGTAGGAACATTAAATGGTGTTATAATATTGAACGATCCCCATGGTGGGGCGGATTTTTTGAGCGTATGGTGCGTTCAACTAAACGATGCCTGAAAAAAGCTTTAGGTAATGCTCATTTGTCGTATGAGGAGCTACTGACTTTATTAGTGGACATTGAAGGCGTTTTAAACTCGCGTCCTCTTACATATCTTAGCGATGATTGTATAGAACCCCTAACCCCTTCGCATTTAGTATTGGGGAGAAGGATATTGTCTGAACCGCTGTTTACTCCAAATCCTAAAGTAGTTGGTAATACCTCTTCAGAATTCTGCAAGCGCAAGAAATACTTGCAGACTGTTATAAATCATTATTGGTCAAGATGGCGGAATGACTATGTTACTCAATTACGCGAGCATCATCGTTCCAGAGTTAAAACAGGTCCTATCATACGTGAGGGTGATATTGTGCTAGTATTTGATGATAAAGTATCGCGCTTAAATTGGGAAATGGGTAGAGTTGATAGAATTTTACCAGGTCGTGATAATAACGTGCGATCCGCTGTTGTAAGAGTTCAGAACAAACAGGGCAAAATAATATTTATGAATCGACCTATACAGAAATTGTATCCAATAGAGTTGGTTAGAGATTAGTAGAGAATGTATCTTATTATTGATAAGTATTGGAGTACACAGTTAGAAATCAGTGTTATATATGTATTTACGAGTTTAGAATCTTAGTACATGTAACGAGTTTAGAATCTTAATATTTTGAGTATAGAATCTTAGTATTTGAGTATAGAATCTTATAGAGTAATGCATCTTAAAGAATAGTATCCAAGATATAGAGTTTTGTTATTAAGAGTTCAAATCTCAAGAATTATGTTAAATTTTAGTGTATTTTATTGACCTCGCGTCAATAAGGGGGGAGTGTGTTCTGAAATGATTAATGATTGAAGGGAGACAACTCTTGTTTTCTTTTGACTCTCTTTTTTTTGGAGTTAAAAAATGTTGTAAGAAGTTGAGTTGGCAGCCATATTTTGAAACCATGTGTTTTTCTTTGTAAAATCTTGTATAGTCAAGATGTGAGTACTGAGTATAGAAAGGCAACAGCCTTTAATAAACATGTTTCCTATATAATCGAGTATCGTTTCTATAATCCAAAACAGGTCCTCTGGTTTCCTCCCACTGCTAAAGACCCCTACGCGCAAGCGAATTATTGAAATAAAATTAAACCATATGCTAGTCCCGAAATGACCTAGTTTGTGTGAGTGGACATTAAACCCCATTTCTCTCTCTCTCTGTGAAGTAACCTAGTTGTGGTTACAGAAAGGGGCCTATTCAACATATATACTTAAACTGAAATGTTTTCAAAATGCAGCCTTTTCATTGGTTAAGATTTTAGCTCTCAGCCAATGAAAATTCTAAATCCTTAAAAACATTTTGGTATCAGTTTTTGTGCATAATGCCCCTGGATGTTAAATCTTTCATCTGTTCATCCATACCCTAGCTTATCGACATCTTTCAAAAAATGCCATTAAAGTCGAGTCAAATATATGTATTGTATTTATTACAGGAGTATGGGCGTATTAACATACGTTATGTTGACAGCATTTTCACCATTTGCTGGAGAAAACCAACAAGAAACATTTTGTAATATATCTTCAATGCAAGTCGACTTCCCAGAGGAATTATTCAGCGATAAAAGTGACCATTGTCAGGATTTCATTAGCCGTCTGCTTGTAAAAAATGCCAAGTAAGTTTTAGTTTAATTGTTGAAGTCAGATTGAAAACTAAGTACTCATTTTGAGAGATGAACTTCCTTAAAGATTTGGGTTAAACACCGCTGTTATCAGACATGCCCAAGAGTAACCTCCTAATTCTGGAAAAGTCCCACATCAGGCCATGTCTGTTCTCCTTTGTGCCAAATATTTTTAAGCACAAGTAATAGGTATTGTTTTTATTATCAGACTACGACTTGGTATATAAACGAAAATGTAAACCAAGATTTTGTTTATTATTTCAGAAAGCGTTTAACAGCCCGTCAGTGCCTTGAACACCCCTGGTTGCAATCCCATGTAATACAGGCCAACCTTCCACCTACTGTATCCAATAGCAACGAATCAAATATGGAGGAAACTTCATCCCATTGCAACGAAAAGCATCACCAAACCTTGCCACGGATGACTGGGAGAAAAAACATAATAGAATTAGATGAGAAAGATGTGCTTTCAGAATCGTCAGTAAAATGTAGTAAAGAAATTCATATTGAAATCCCCTCGGACTTTCGTTCTACGGTTAAATCTGTGGAAACGTTAACGGAAATATCTGATAATAAAAACAATATGGTGGAAAAAATACCAGTTGTCAACGGTGATATGCATTGTAAATCTATGGAAGTTGATGACATTGTAAAAAAAGTGGCTGCCAGTGAACCATTAATAACAAATTCTGTTTCACTTCAAAATGATGAAAACCGAAAAAATGAAGAAAATCATTCTAAAGTTACGTATAGTGTGAATAAAACAATTGTTTTGAAACCACTGTCTTCCTCTAGCTCTCTCGTGAATAACACAAACTCAGACTCCTTTATATCTGAGCAGACGGAAATTACTCAGTTTTCAAAAACATTTGAAAAGCAGACAGAGTTATCAAGTCCTACTGGTGAGCAAAAACCATTTCCAAACGTCTCGAACGATGGAGAAATATCTTCTACTCAGAATAGCATTGAATTTATTAATCCATTTAATGGTAAAGAACAAAAGGTCATTGCACGTAACAAGGTTCAGCGAATTTCACTTCCAAGTCGTCTGCCCGGAGAGAGTATAAAGAATAAAGATAAAGATGAGTCTTTCAAACGTAGATCCATGGAGATTCCCGTCAAAAGACGGAAAAGTGAAACTGTTGAAGAAGATGAAGACCTGCAGAAATTGGCGTCGTTAAATCATCGCACTATTACAGTTGTTGAAGAGTTAACAGCCTTGGAAACTAACTCGGCATCTGTTAAACAGTGAATGAGTTTGTCTCGTAATAAAAGGGTATCGGTAGTAATTATAACTATGTCAAAAAATACTTACAAATTAATTTTTATCATTGTCAGACCTGGGCCCAGGGCATTCAATCTTATTTCCCTCCAACACTTATGTTAATCTCAAAATAGCCGAATAATTCCATTGACGGGATGTTAAACCCAACTCTTTTATCACATGAATGCCCTGAAAAATGTGAAATTATTTAGAATGCTAATGAGTCATGAAACACAAGTTGAGGAAAATGAAGTTTTATGCCCTGGTGCCCTGTTTTGTTTTTCATTCTTATTGTATGTCACAACGAGTTCATTTACTCATTATCATAATATAACATTTGAGAAAACAAATTAACCATATGATATTATCATAAGTATCTTTAAACTTAAATTAAAATCATATTTTAACAATATGAACAATGTTGGTTTAAGCTGTTGTACAAAAACCATATTCTGGCTATATCTTTTTATGAGTCATTGCATGAGTATTTTCCAGTTTAAATATATTTTAATCAAGTAAGATACAGATGTCTTTGCATTTTTTTTTTTTACCAATCAGACAATTGTTAAGGATTATTTATATTAACTTTCTTTCCTACATAAATCATAAATAAAGATGATTCTTAGAATAAACCAACCAGAACGATTAACAACTCTGGCCAGATTGATTAACAACTCTGGCCAGAGATACAATATTATGGTCAGACATGTGGATTAAAAGATTAATTGATTAAGATTATGATAATTTGTATATTAATGAACTCTATAATGTGCATGTTGTAAAGTATGTGCGAGTATTGTTATCAGTCCATAGTGGTCACATTGAATGCTAAATTTACTATTCTAATATCCTAATGCATTATTTGAATTTGAATTGAATATTAAAATAGCATTTGAGAACAGTGACTGTACCGCACAGTGGATGCTTAAGACTGGGTTCCGGATCCATTCCCCTGATTTGATATTTGATGTTTATTTCTTGCAACGTCTATTTAGTTTGTCTTGTCCGCAGGTTTGTCTAGTCAGTTTTGTTTTGTGTGTAGTGCGGTCCTCCTGCATTTACTATTTAAATATTCAATTCAAATGATCATAAATCTTTCACAAAGCAGTCTATATTGCTTCATCTGTTTGTTTATTTTTGAATGTTTGTTGATTTCATTTAATAAGATTAGTAAATATTTCATAGTAGAGACAAATACCATCAGTTTCAATTGAAATTGAATAATCTTGGATAATACTACTTGAAGATTCAAGTATTTGTGTAAGCAACCAAAAACACCATCTAAGGCGCCACATTTTCTTGAAATGTTCAAATCATACTTTGTACATAGTTGTCTTTTATAACTTTTTATAAAAATTTCTTGAAATAAAATAGAAAACGTTTATCAAAAATTTAATGAAGACATTTTATATAAAAAGTTGAGGAGAAATTCTGTACAAGATATGATAAAAAAACGTTGGCTGTTATAAAACACAAGCTGGTATCTAATGGAAATATACTATTTATTGTGTTGTAATTTTTTGATGGATTTTGTAACTCTTTATTTATTTTTGCATGGAGACTTGTGAAATGATGTTCAATATTTGATTTTCACCAATTCAAACATTTTATCTCATTTAATGATCATTATAATACAGATATCTGTTTTTCTCGGAGGATTTATCATTTTAACATATATGACAATTGACATAATTAACTAATTCAGAAAGAATACCAACAATTATTGTTTTTCTTCATAAGAGGCTCAGAATTCGGTAGTGAATTGTAATTTTGACAACCAAAATCGTTTTAAAGATTTCAAAATTTGTCAAGAAAATGTCTTTATTATCGAAACGTGGATTTACGAGTTCTGTTAAAATAATTTTGTGATTGAAGCAATTGTGTTGGATCATCTTCATTATCATCATTGCCTGTCATCATCGAAATCATCATCATCATCATTAGTCATTGTGTATATTACTTCATAAATCATTAAGACTATTCCATTTAATAATACCAACATTTAGGGGAAAGGAATCGTCACAAATGATCCGAGAACCCAATAATTTTTAAAGGATTAGTTCTTATTATAACGATATCTGTATAAATCAAATAGACTCATTTTTACTGATTTAAATACAATGAAAATGAATTTATATGAATTACATATTTTATAATTCTTGGCTTTAATATATTTCACATTTTCTGTTTTAAATTTTGATAATTTTCAAAACTTTAATGTCAATGATGAAGGTAATACTGTATTGCTACGTACTCCGACAAGGTGACTTTATTTATCACAAAACAGGAAATGTGAAATCAGCTCCGTCTGCTTGCTATTTATGTTATTATATTTCTAACTGTATTGTGGGAATGTTCTCGTAATTTTATAATTTATGAAAATTGACGACTCGACCAATTTGGCCGTTGTGTGTATGTGCATGTATATATGTATATTGAGCAAGGTTAGTGATTGATTAGAGCGTAATTACATCCAACAGACGCTATATTCTCAAAAACTTTAATGTTACGATTATTTTTAGTTTGTCAAAGATGAATATAGAATATCCCCACAGAACAATACCATCATGAAATTTCTAAATATATTTGAAATGTTGCATTGGCCGAGAAAGTTCATCGGGATTTTCCGACGTGATTTCCCCTTGTCAGTGGTGCAGGACGGAGGCCTGACAAACCAAGGTCCTGTGTTCACATTGGAGTGCATGTAAAAGATCCCTGGGCAGTTGGAATTCAATATAAGAGTAGGCCATAGTGGCGCTGCCCAGGCAAAATTTCCCTCATAGCATTTGACGTATGCTCATCCTCATTAGCCCAGTCGGAGCAGAACAGTAGAACGTTAAACCCCATTTCATTTCTATTTGAAATGTTGTCCGACAATCTAGTATGAGTCAGCATACCTTGCCCCTACACTGGTCCAGGAATAAATGTTTGTGTACTTACTTGTAAGTACTTTGTCCCTAGAAGATAATGAATTGAAAGATGAAAAAAAAAAAAATTTTTTTACAATATTTCCAATACTGAACATTAAAGTTTTTGAGAGTCTGTTATACAATATATTATTTTTTGAAACTGAAAGCTGAGCTATTTTTGAGGCAGTGTTTTTTTCGATATATTTAAGCTTTAAATGTTCAAATATCTTGTTTTATGCTTGTTGTTAAGATCTATAGATTCTTTAGTGTCTTCATTTGTAACGCATTCGAAATAACAATATTTCCCAAGCTGAATTAGAATATCCCTGATTAATATTTCCGATCACAATTAGAAAGTTTTATTGGAACTAGAAAGTCCCCGATTAGAATTTGAATGTTTTTGATAGGAACTAGAATGTATTTGTTCGGAACTAGAAGGGTTTTTTTTACGGTAACTAGCATGAAAGTTTTGTTCTTGTTCTCTATTCTGAATGTCATGTCAGTTTGATTATAAAAATATCAGACTTTTAAGTGTTTTTAAATGTAACATAACAAGCTGTTTGTGAATATCAATGCTAACTAATTGTTTTTATGTCAAATTTGTGTCTTTCTTTTCCAGTCTGTCATTTCTGATTATAGTAACAGATATTTATTCACAAAAAAATTGAATATTTTGTGTTTATTCCTTGTTTGTTTACTAATATGAATTATGCATGAAAATAAAAATTACCTCATTAATGATTTTATGCATAATAGTACACGTTCGTTGTTCATCAGGTTTTGTAAGTGTCATATTCTATAATTAAACTTGTATGTTATGTAATTAGGTTTCCTCCAATGCATGCATTGTTTTTTATGGATAAAAAAGTTCAGTCCTTATTTGACTCATACTGTGGAATGAACTAGGACTATATTTTTGTTTGTTTAAAGTCTCGGACGGTCATTTGAGGGATTTTTAATCCCTCGCAAGCTGCCGTACTGAAAGTTGAATCTAAATCAAATGAGATTTATTGTCCTAATTTCCTGCAACATATTTGATGTGATTGTCATGAATATTCCTGGTTAGATGGTTATAGTGTTGCTTTAATTTCAAATAAGCCAAAAAGTATGTGTCAACATATTTCACAGCACCCAGTAATCCAATATGTCCCAAATATTTAAGATAACTTCAATAATTCAAGTATTCCCATCTGCACACAAAACCAAAAAAAACTCAATTCAGTATTTAACAAACTTCATTTACTGTACATAAACACAATTCATTTTGTTTTAAAAAAATGACTATTCCATAAATATGTAGTATAGGTTTATGTTCAGAAGGAATGAAATGTTACTGTATGACATAGTCTTGATCACACACCCCAAATTGTCTCTGACACAGGCGCTTGAAGGGATTACAATAAAACTTATTACTACTGCTTGACGATATAGAAGTTGTATTTTAATCCCTTCAAGTGCCTGTGCTTTTTGACTAATATTGGTCTGACAGAATAGCATCACAGATAATTAGTCATGACTTACGATTGGTTAAGAGGTGAACTGACCTTCACCTTGTGTTTAAAATATACAGAATACATTGCCTGAACTGTACAGTTACCATGTACAACATTGGAAGCTATTTATCCAGACCTAGAAATGTTGCAGTTGTTTAAGAGACAATTCGAGCTGGGACAGGACGATCAAGACTAATTCTATCACGGTAAACAGGATGTTAAAATCAAAGATTAATGGTGTCGTCTATTTTCAGGCTAGCTGGGGAGGTCATGTTCATATGCGGGGGAACTGAGGTGGCTCAGTGAGTAAGATGTTGGTTCTCTAACCTGAAGGTTCTGTGTTCAATCCCGGTTTTGGCCGAGAAAGTTCATCTGGATTTTCTGGCATGTGTTCCTCTTGTCTGTGGTACAGCACCGAGGACCTGGGAAGTGACAAAAACCAAGGTCCTGAACCCTTGACAGTAGGAATTCGAAATAAGAGTAGGCCGTAGTGCCGCTGTCCGGGCAAAATTTCCCTCACAGCACACTTTATGGTGTATTCCCGGCTTTATTAGCCTAGTTGGTTCATTTCATTTTCATATGGAAAATTTGTTTATCAGGATTTCTGGGCTTAGGGTTACCTAACGCTAACCCTTGTGGGAATTTCTAACCTCACCAACTAGCCTCAAACTAGACACTGCCAAATAGCAAGGAGCTGCACGATGTAACATAGCAGCTTTTATAAACATTACCAATTCTCATATAAAACATCTAAAAAGATCTCGTACAAAAAATTCCTTATCATTCCTACCTTAGTTTTTAGGGAACAACTTTTACACCCGTAATTTTAATTTTAAGCACAGTTAGTACAAGTATAGAAATCGGGTCGATTTTTTGGTCGGCTTAAGTATAATATTAGAATTTTTACATGTATGTTATCTTACTTGAATTTAGATGCAAAAATTATTTGCTGTGTGATATTAGCGTAATTAGGAGATACTAACTTAAAAAATAGCACCGAAATAACATTACTGGTTATGCTTTCTACTTAAAAATCGACAGTTATTTTTGACACTCGAGCATTCAAGAAGAAAACATGACCTGTAACCTGATTTGAGATTTTATTCAAATCTGAAACTTGTCATAGTTACCTTAAATATGATATGATTCCAATACAGCATTAAAGTTATTATCCTTTTGGATTAAATTTTATGTCAACAAATGAGCAAACAATAAAAATGTAAATCGACATAAAAAGACCAAATATTGAATCCTGAAAAATATAAACCATCAGTGTGCTTATAAAATGTTGATGCAATTATTAAAAAGTATAATTCCACCAAAAAAATGATCTGTAGTGTTTTAGGGAACAATGGTAACCATATCTACCCTTTTAACCCCAGCAAATCAGGATATTTTTACTGCTGAGGGATAATTATACAATATACATGTAATTTTTTGTTTGATTTTATGTAAAATCTTCAATTCATGATTGTATTTGATTCATTAAAACATTTTTGAGGGCTTCATTTAAATTATTTTGTCAGATTTAGTTTGTTTCCATCCAGTCAGGATCAGACAGTATTCTGACCATCCGAAGAACTAGAAACTTTTTAATTGGATGGGTGAAACTTGATATAACGATATAATTTATTAGAGAATATAGTATTATATATTTTATTATCTGATTTACAAATTGATTTCGATATAAAATGGTGAGGTTTGGATGTTGTCAGTGTGTCCGCCTTCTGTGTCTTTTCATGGTATAAAATTTGTTAAAGTTAATTTGTTATTAGAAAAGAAAAGGGATACAGAACACGATATTTTTGATTTTGGAATTATTTGGCAAATTGAAATTTAACTTTACAAATCTTTTTTCTTTTAGATAAACCTCAATGGACCGTTCAGGTTAATTTAGGGTTAGATTAGATTCAGTCTAAATGTAGATGATCCAAACTAATCACCCTTAGTTATATAGGCTGACATTGGCTGTGACTGAAACGAACCCCAGGTCTAACAAATTCTCACAACAGAAAATGATTTAGGTTGTCTTGAATGGAGATGACAAAAGAATAGTTTTGATTCTTTTTCAACTAAGGTACCATGAGAAAACATGAATATTTTTTATGTATGTTAATGTGATGGGTTTTTATACAGTAGATTACAATGAGAGTGTTTGTATTTTATATACTCTTTGTTTTGAAATTACAATTATTGAACGGAATGAATTGAATATAACTATTTATTAAAATTAGTTTAATATTACTATAAAACAAGAAATGAACTGAGAAATATTAGGTCAATGATAAAGTAAAAGTAGGTTAGTTGCAAACAATGATATTGTCATTGATTAACTATCTACCCTTTTGGTCCCTAAATAACCCATTTTTCTCTCTCTCACTGAAATGTGAATGGTGATATTCTTACATCAATTCTTGTTTAATGCTACAAATATTCATAGTAAAACCTTTTCTTCTTTTGTTTTACTGATATGTAATAAAATTTAATTTAAGGAAGATAGTGCTTCAAAAAGACATGATTAACAATTAAAGGGAGATAACTGTACATTTACTTGTTTATAAGGAATGAAGTTTTAATGTAGATAGTAGTGTAGTTGTATATTGACTACAATTGATGTATACTAATTTTATCACATAATTTAACATAAATCTTTGATATTTTTTGTTTGTTTTATGTACAAATATAATTTTTTTTTTTAGTTTTAATTTTTGATGTAAATAGAGTAGAGTGGACCGTGTATGGAACAATATGTTATTGTAAATGTGACTTAATATTAATTAAAATGCTTTTATCAAAATGGATCTGTCATTATTTCTTCCACATCCTGGGATTTTTATGTCCATAATAGCATACATCTGATAAAAAGGTGTTAAATTAATTATTACCCCCCTTTGGTGGTTAGTTAAGCATTCAAGTGATAATGTTTAGAGAACCCGCAACGAAACGTAGCTTTAATTAAAATGATAATTGTGTACCATATTATTTAAAGAAGTGATACAAGTCTGCTTAAATTGTTTCAATGCAATGGCATCAGGTCACAATTCTATGGAATACAATTACTGAGCAAGGTTTCGACTAGGCTACTTCTAGTCTTTATCAAGCAAGTTATAGTGTGCCGGTCTATATAGACATGTATAACACCAAGTTATAGTGTGCCGGTCTATATAGACATGTATAACACCAAGTTATAGTGTGCTTGTCTATATAGACATGTATAACACCAAGTTATAGTGTCCTGGACTATCTATATATATTTTTGTGACTGTCGTTTGTCTGTCTGTCTGTCTGTTCGGGGTTGGCGGCTACACTAGGTCTGCCCCGAGTCTGAAATTTGGGGTATAGGGGTAGCTCGGACCGGGGAGTAACATAGGCCAGGTGGCGTTAGTCTACCACTTCCGGTTTCGGAGTTATGACCCCCGAGCGAAGCCGGGTATCCTGCTAGTATAGACATATATAACACTTGCAATTGCAACTGAAAGAAGAGTAGACATGAAGTTCAGGCAATATTCTCTTACCTCACATTGAACATGTAAACATAGAAGTAAAAATTACCATGTCCGTCTCAAAATTACCGAAATATTGTGTTGATGAGAAATTAAACCCTATTCGTATTCATACAATGATTAAGCCCAGTACATAAAGGGCTAATGAATATGGCCGTAGGCCATGATATGAAGAAACCTTTGCCAAATCTTTCTGGGAGCTGTCCTGGCTCCATCCTGGATTACTGATAAGCGGGAATTACGCCAGAAAATCCTGAGAAACGTTCACGGCCAACGCCAGGATCAAACATAAAAATCCAGGTGAGTCGGTGCCTTGCTGAGCACCTGTGACTCCTTCCGGTACAGACTATTAAAATATATACCGAGCGCCATGGAAAACGCATCACTCAGTTTTTCGTATAACAAAATGATCCTGTAAACATATCTTATTTATTTTGCTTCTTATTGTGAACAATATTCAAATGGGAACACATCAATAACAACACATTTGTACACTTATGGATGTTTAATCTGTAATTAACGGTACAAAGTCAGAGGGGTTAAAACCAAAAGTACGACACAGATGTCAGTAGCGCGTGTATCCTCCACGGGCTCTTACGCATGCTGTGCAGCGACGTCGCATGGAATTTACCAATGTTTGAAAGAAGGCCTGGGGCAAATTGTTCCATTCTTGGACAAGAGCAGCTTCTAAAGCAGCAATGGTGTGCATCTGTGGTCTCCGATACAGACGGCGTCCAATCTCATCCCAGACATGTTCTATCAGTGCCATGTCCGGAGACATGGCTGGCCAGTCCAAGACATTGATGTTGTTAGCAGCCAGGTAGTCCATACTAAAACGGGCAGTATGCGTACGTGCATTATCCTGTTGGAAGTGCTGAAGTTGTGGGTGCGCTCCAAACATTGGAACAACAATTGGTTGCAAGACATCATCACGGTAGGCTACAGCATTAACGCGACCCCTGCAAATGTGTAGGGCGGTCCGGTAATGAAATGTGAAGCCTCCCCACACCATTACACTTCCCCACCCAATCGATTCGTTTCGAAGACGCAGCAGTCTGCAAGACGTTCCCCAAGACGTCTCCACACACGTTGACGGCCATCAGCGTGATAAAGATGAAAGCGACTCTCATCACTGAAGAGCACACTTTGCCAGTCTACTCTTCTCCATGTCTGGTGTCCTTGAGCCCATATCAAACGCCGCTGACGGTGATGATCCCTGAGGATAGCTCCAACATAAGGTCGTCGTGCACGGAGTCCTACTTCTCTTAGACGACGTCTTACGATGTTGGCACTTACTGGTCCTTGTCTTCCGACGACTGCTGCACCTGTTCGAGTCGCTGGGCGGAATCTGTCACGCAGATGAGTGACCCGGATGTAGCGGTCTTGAGCCTGGGTTGTAACGCGTTGTGGACCAGGACGTTGACGGTCACGTGTTGATCCAGTAACTCAAACACGTTCCACCAACCTTCCAATAGTGGACTGATGACAATTGAAGTGTCTGGCAATAGCACGTGTAGACATGCCAGCCCTGGACATTCCCATGGCTTCATTCCGTTGATTTTCAGTAAGTCTCGGCATCTCTAGCTCGATTCCTTCACACGTACAACAACAAATTACGACAGATTGACGTTTCACAGTTCATGTACTGCATATTAAGTTGAAAACATGCTTTTAAAGGGCTCACACACAATGCTGCACGTGAATATTGGGTTTTTCATGTGCATCTCGTGCAATTTTTTTTTGTGAACACAGGCCGATTTTTTTTGCGTTTGGGAGCATTGTGTGAAACAATAGTTCATAGTATTGCATAATATTATACATACAAAACCACCTAGTAATAAAATATTTGGGAAAAAATAGTGATGCGTTTTCCATGGCGCTCAGTATATTAGTCTGTCAACTTAATTTCCTTCTATTTCAAGAACTCAAAGAATGATAGAATTAGGATATTTATTAAAAACAATTAAATCATCATCATAGAAACTGTACAGCACTGATACAGGATATTAATTTTAAAAAATGTCCATGAATTTCGCACTAAATTCACTAAGTTTGGACAGAGCGGTTAAAAAAACCCCAGAATCCTGTGTGAGTTGGTGGTTGGATTTGATGTTTCTTACATAGAATTTGATTATATAACACTATAACAATGGCACTTATATGTAGACAGCTTACCAGGCACTTAGTAAATAGCATGAAGTTCAGGAACCTATTGTCAATCACCAAAATTGCAAAATCATTTCCACAGATTTAACTAGTTTAATCCACAAATGAATAGGTATGGTTCCTTTAATTAAGCTCTTGTCAACATTGTATCCTAATTTTCACACTTGAATATAAGGAGGTAGAAAGTCAATGGGAATAATCTTTGGTGGTCTGCATCCATAGTTCATATACTAAGTTGTCTTTCTTTGTAAGTGTCTGAAATTTACAATAACAACCACGTTGAGGATGCTTATAAATGGTCCCGTAAATCTTGAAAAAGTTCAGCATTCAGTTGTTGTAATTGGAAGTCATCTTTTAAATTTAACCCTTTGAACACAAGCATCCGGATTTCTTGCTGTGAAGTTGTAGTTCTGCCAATACAAGCCGTTGGTTCTCATTCACTTGTTAACATCCAGATGAAGGACATCTTACAGCTCAACATCTAGATGTAGATCTTGGTCCCAGGAAACCATAGTTGAGGTCACAATAAGTTCTGGGACTTGGTGTTCAAATGGTTAATAATAAAATAAAGTATATAAAAAAAATTATTCTATGTGTCATGGATCATTGGTCGATGATGATGATGATTGGCTGCTCTTCATCAACAATCATAATTATATTGGTGAAATTATTTGGTATCGTATTGGATTCTATCCCGTGGGGATGACCGAACAATTAGTTGTCAATCATGAGATAATTTCTGACATCATGAAGTTATGTAGTAGATTAGGAAGCTAGAGAACTCTGTGGATAAAGTTTTGTAAATCGACCGAGTGTCCAGATGGGGAATATATTTCTATAATTAGTATAACTTATAGCACATGTTTTATTAAAAACACCTGGAATATTCTCCTGAAAATATAAAACATATTTAATAAGTTTACATTATTATCTATATAGGAACATAACATAAGTCTTAAAGTCTTGATGCACCATTTTAGAGCTATAGGATTCACTTGAAAAGTACGATATTATGAAAGTTGAATCTCAAATAGGAATATCAGTCCAAAAATGGTTCAATTCTGTTCATTATTAACAACGATATATCGAATTGAAATTGTAACAAGCCTGCTGCCATTTTGGTAAGAATTTCTTTTTAAATCTGATTGAATCCATGCCGTGATATTATCTAGCGTTAGTATTTTGATTTTGTTTCCTTAATCAAATATTAAATAATCAATGTTAGCGTAATAGCATGGGATTAAGCCTTGAGAAATTTGATATTTTAGTGAAAAATACAAATTGTGCATTGTTACTTGAATATTGTATATTGTGGTTTTTGGTTTTCAGGAAAATCATCATTAGATACACAGTAAAATTATACTTTTTTACTGCTTTGTTTCTGATCATACGGATCAGTACCACAAAAATACAAATTTTCTTGATTTTATTGTTTTTTTGTGACACAATTTAACCCTATTTGTGGTTTCCCCTTGTCAGTAAGAGAGAAATGGGGTTTAACATCCACACGACACAAACTAGGTCATTTCGGGACTAACATATGGTTTAATTTTATTTCAAGAATTCGCTTCCGCGTAGGGGTCTTTAGCAGTGGGAGGAAACCGGAGGACCCGGAGAAAACCCACAAGGTTGGATTCGAAACCACGCCAGTTGACTCAATGGCAGGCTTTATGATACAGCGTGCGCACGCTAACCATTCAGCCATCCAACCCCCCACCCCCTTGTCAGTGGTGCAGGATGGAAAGTCTGACAATGAAAATCATCAACTGGTATCTGTCTGCCTGTGTATACCATTGGCAGTTTAAAATCCACTGGCACTGATGTTGAAAATTAAAATAAGACTGTGCTGTAGTGTCGCTGTCTGGGCAAAATTACCCTCATAGCACGGCATAAATTATTCATGTCTCCATTTACCTGGTTGGAGCAGATAAATAAAATGTTAAACTTAATCCCTCCCTATTTCTCGCTTTTTTTAGCAATATTTGGATGTGGATTTTAGAAACAGAAAGTAACCATCAATCAGTTGCCCACTAGCTTAGTCACTCAACAAAGGGAGAGAGAGAGAGAGAGAGGTGGTGTTTAAGTTCCAGGACACAAACTAGGTCATTTCAGGGCTAAGATATGGTTCAATTTTATTTCAATAATTCAGTTGCACTTCAGAGTCTTTAGTAGTCGGAGGAAACTGGAGGGTCTGTAGAAAATACACGAGGTTGGACAGGCAACCATACTCCTTGTCACGTACAAGCAGGGAATTGAAACCCCACGACTTGACTCAATGACAGATATTATAAACTAATGCACACAATTAAACCATTCGGTCCCCCAACCCCCCTGTCACCCAATAGGTTTAAACATAGGATAAACTCAACATTACCTGTGGCCAATCTCCATTTGATATTTGTCTATCCATGATTAATTTTATACCTTTCTCTAAAACTTCTAAATGTGGATATCTGTAAATAATTAATACATATGGTTATTATGACAAATAGGCCATTTTGGGACTAACATATGGTTCAATTTAATGTCAATAATACGCTTGCATGTAGGTGTCTTTAGCAGTGTGAGGAAACAAATGAGGTTGGGCCATCAATCCTACTCCTTGTCACGTACATGCTTCTGATCGAAACCACCCCACTTGACTCAATGACAGTCCTTATGATCTAAAGAGCATACATTAGACCACTCGACCACCCAACCCCTCTGAACGTAATGGAGAAAGATGATATGGTTGAAGATCTTTGCTCACTGTGGTGGAACTTTTTTGTATATATTCTGTAACTGGTGGACATGAAATGCATCAAAAATAGCGGTGCCACTTTCAACATTTTTTCTTTTAATATCTACTATCAAAAGATGTGTATTAGGGCTATGGACACACAGTTAATATTTGGGATCTAGAAATTGACACAAATGGGTTACATTCAATTGTTTCTGTTTTTACTCTAATTTCAAATCAGTTATGCCAGAAGTCTCAATTGAATGGTAATCTCTAGCGTCTGGTTATTCCAGTCTACACCGATAGTTTTTGTTGCGCATGCTCTCCAGATAAGAATATGGCCTCACCGTTTGACATGACTTATGGTACAAATGGCTCTGAAACGCATTATGGTACACGATTTGTGTACCAATGGTAAAATGTTTATTTTGTCTTAAATATTGGATATCAGAAGCCCATCTTTTCCCGGTAAGATCACAACATCAATGTTGATTTAAATTCACAAATAATTCATGTTTTCAAAGTCAAAGACTTTGGATGATATTAAGTTAGAGACTTAGCTACTTTAACCAAACATTATACAAGACCTATAGCAGGGCTTTCTTTAGGCCTGAAATGTTATCTAAATTATTAATCAGACATTAATTAACTTATGCAGACCATATTCAACTCTCGATGTCATAACTAGCCTACGATATTTACTGGAATAGAATCCGATCTGCTGCTCAATGCTCATTGATGATTATATTAAAAAAATGGATAATCGAGACTATGTTCATGTTCTTTATTGTACCGACTTTAGTAATGATGATCGAGGCTAGGCCTAAAATTCAATTGCTAAATTCTTGGTTCAGATTGGATAAATTTGACTGAAATTTTCAGCAAATTTCCTTTAAATTATGTAGTTTTTAACGTTTATAGTGATAACTGCCAGCTCTTTCTCTAATCTTACATAATGTATCTTTAAGTTTATATTACCTGACAGACATAAGACCTAATAAAGCCCAGCAGGTGTTGACTATTTGTGATTGTTCACACTCTACATACTGTCTTTGTTCACATGACTCAAATTTCTCACCCCAACCACCATCTTCTTTCTGTTTCAACTCCAGAAATTTACACGCTTCTTTTACTGCAGGGGGAGCATTATTTTTATCGTATCGGAATCCCATACAAGCGTACGCTTCTAAACCAAACCATGCTGCATACGTAAAACACACTCCCCATGAACCTTCCCATGATCCATCAGGTCTTTGTTTATTTTGAATATAATGAAGACCGTCATCGAGTGTAAGTCTGATTTCGTCAGCTCTGTATTCAGGATGTTTGTCCTTGAAATGTTTCAATGATTGCATCACAGCAGACGTACATTCTACATACGTATAATCAATCATAATATCACCTGTAATCAGAAGGAATATAATCTATCACCTGTAATCAGAAGGAATATAATCTATCACCTGTAATCAGAAGGAATATAATCAATCAAATCACTCAGAAAGAATAAGCGACTGACCATCATTTGATATATATTTTGAATCCCATACAGAGCCGGATTAAGCTTGCATGTTGCCCCTGGCTGAAAATGTCATTGGGCCCTTGCATCAACAGTGAAAACGGAGAAAATTCCAGCACAAGCCCTATAGTTGCCTTAACGTAGTTGCAAAAATGGTATGTCCCCTTTGTTAAACTCTACCGAAACATGACATATTTATTTATGGTACAAATTGTTTTTGAGAACTAATTTGGGGCCCCTTTTAAACATTAAAGAGAAAACATGACACAGCTTTAATACTTTAAAAATATATATAGGTTGCCAGGCAACAAATCATACACACAGAGAAGCTAAATCGACCCAGCTGTCGGTCACATATTTATTCTTTTGTAGGTAATGGGAGCATTTACAAGACACTGATGTCAATTTCATAATTGTATACCAGTAGTTAAATCACAGAACTACCATGGCCTCCTCCTCAGGTAATATAAGATCCATTTTCACAGCACTATTTTTTTACACTCTAGTAAAATACAATCTAGACGATGCTCATTCTAGATAACACAAAAACTTATCTTACCAAATACTTCTGAAGGGTTTAATTTTTCTAGTAAAACTCCACCACGTTTTGTTTCGTAACTAGCAAATCCTCCATCATGACATTTCATACTTAATAACTAAAATATACACAAAAATATACAATAAAAATATGGAATAAAATATACAATAAAAATATGCAACAAAACTACACATAAATGAATTAAGTACACAATACACTATACAAAATATACACAATGATTCAGGTACACAATACACCATACAAAATATACACAAAGGATTCAGGCACACAATACACTACACAAAATATACACAAACAATTCAGGTGCACAATACATTATACAAAATATACACAAACAATTCAGGTATAGGGCCTATAATAAACTATACAAAATAAACACAAACAATTCATCTACAAAATACATTACACTATACAAAAAACACAAGTGATTCAACTACACAATACATTGTAAAAAATAAATACAAACGATTCATCTACACAATACACTGTACAAAGTATACACAAATGATGCATCTACACAATACACTATACAAAATATACACAAATGAATCAAGTACACAATACACTATACAAATATACACAAATGATTCAGTTATACAATACACTATACAAAAAAATACAAGTTTAGAAAGGGAAGGAAGATTTGTATGTTGTAAAATTTAAATACTTACCACATCTACAGCTTGGTAAAGTTTTTCTGCAGGAATTTGTTGTGATAAATAATCACATCTCTCCTGTAAATACAATACGCTCTTTAACCCTTCTGCTGTACAATCACTGACTATCCAGCCACAGTCTCTTGTACTAAATGGAAATCCTCCCTATACATCAGAAAAAATAGCGTAAATTAGTTTTTAAAAGATTATCGAGCAACAGTCTCTTCTACTAAATGGACAGAGAAATGGTTTAATAACCACTTGAAACTAACCAAATCATTTCAGGACTAAAATATGTTAGATTGTATCTAGTGAAATGAAATGGGGTTTTACTGTCCTACTGTTCTGCTCCGACCGGGCTAATGAAGACAGGCATACGCCATACAGTGTGCTATTAGGGAAATTTTACCCGGGCAGTGGCACTATGGCCTACTCTTATATCGAATTCCAACTGCCAAGGGATCTTTTACATGCATGCCAATGTATACACGGGACCTCAGTTTTTCGTACCATCCAAATGACTAGACAATTCGCTAGCATTCAGGATCTTTAAAAATCAAAGGAACCTGGAGTATCAGGAAAAAAATTACACAGTTAGACTTGTCACATATAAACCAGCAATGGTTGACCTTTTGGCCGGTATACAAACCTAATGATCTACAGAGAATGTGTTAAGACTGCTTGCCCAACCCTTAACTTAGCTAACCCTGTCAAAAAAAGTTAAATTCATGAAGACAAAGTTCAATTTGTCTCTTCAGCTCTAAATTTGAAAGTCAACCTACCTTATTCATCTGTCTATAATATTTCTGATAATCAGGTGGGTTTTCAGGAATCTGACTCACTTTCAGGAATTCGTGAGTTTTGTCCAAACAGTGAGAAAATTCCTTCATAGTATCTGCTCCACCCTGAAATTTAACCAGTAAAGTGAAATGGGATGAAAACTGGGGTGGAAATTCAGCTATCTAAGCAAAATTATTCTCCTTAGCATTGAACATATTGCCATAAAAAAAACAACAACTGTATGTATGTTTTTCTCACAATAACCAAAGTATTGTATGGATGATATGTTAATCTCCATTCCTTTACTGTCCTTGTTTGATATTAGTTGAACCTGTTTAAAGCTGTAGTATCTAATGTTGTTTGATATTAGTTGAACCTGTTTAAAGCTGTAGTATCTAATGTTGTTTGATATTAGTTGAACCTGTTTAAAGCTGTAGTATCTGATGTTGTTTGATATTAGTTGAACCTGTTTAAAGCTGTAGTATCTAATGTTGTTTGATATTACTTGAACCTGTTTAAAACTGTAGTATCTAATGTTGTTTGATATTACTTGAACCTGTTTAAAGCTGTAGTATCTAATGTTGTTTGATATTAGTTGAACATGTATAAAGCTGTAGTATCTAATGTTGTCTGATATTAGTTGAACCTGTTTAAGGCTGTAATATTAGTTGATCATGTTTAAAGCTATAACACTATGAAAATCAACTAACCTCTAAAAGTGCCTGTGCTACAAAAGCTGTATCCCATAACTGTGAACCATTCGTACCCTTAAAAATAATTTGGTTATCTATGATAAATACATACCATGTATGGCACAGAAAATTGTTAAAGCTAGGTCAATATTTTAGGCATATTATCATATTATTAAAAGTTCTTGAAAATACAACAAATACAGCTACTTACATTCATTTTCATTCCATCTAAACCAATCCTGAAAAACACAAATTTTACAATAAAAGCTTAAATATGTAATTTTTGAATTCTCATTTAATTTACAATGTTTATGTAAGAAACGTCAGTCATGCTATAAATATTATTTTACAATACAGCATTACCGGTATCAGTAATCAGGGCTTTTATTTAATCAAAATTAAGTTTATATTTGTCATAGGGAAAACCTATTTGATTCTTAACCTTTTAATGAAATTGGCAGTCTTATTTTTAACATTATTTATACCAGAATTGTTATCTGACTGTGCTAGGTTTTAATGTATGTTTATTATACAGGTGTCGCAGAACAACTTTAAAGGGGCATTATGGGAGATTAAATAACGAGCTGGTAGTAGATAATGTAAAGGGAAAATTGCTGAAAATTTCAGTCAAATTGATCCACTCTGAACCAAGATATTAGCTTTTGATTTTTAGGCCTAGCCTTGGTCATCATTACTAAAGTCGGTACGATAAAAAACATAGTCTCAATTATCCATTTTTAATACAGATGCCACATAAGATTTTTTAAATACAAAACTCAAACGAAAGTGTCTTAAAAAATGCGTGAAAAATGTATTGAAGTAATAAAAGGTCCTAGACGACACTATTATTTCACAATGGCTCCATGACAGCAATAAGAGACTGGATAATAAATATTATACCAGAGATAGTCTTTAACACGATCTTGATGCATTTTAAAGTCTGGATGATCTGGACCATCAATAAACCAGCGAACTAACATCTGTATTACCTTGGATACCTGAAACATATCACACAAATAATACAGGTTTCTAGAGTTAGATTTGTAAACAATAAGAATATGAAAACATTTTCTTGACAGGGTTTTGAAATGGACAAACTGCATTCTGGTTCTATAGTGGAAATCTTAAATTATTTGAATCAATGCCTATCCTTCTTAAATATACTGGGTCAATGTGAAGAGATATCATTTTACTACATTTATCACTGACATTTAATATTCTTCATAGTAGAAATATTGGTTTATATAAGGATATCTTGTAGTAATCAATAGCATTGTGTCTTTTTAATAATTAAAATTTTAGTTCGATTAATTTTTGGGTTGTTTACACCACTTCATCTTTGTGCAAAGAGTTTTTTAAAAGAATATTCAGCAATTCACCTATTTAAACTATTATCATTCTGTCCTCACAGGTCCAGATGCTTTCTTAAAAATTTCTTTAGATATTAATGGAGTGTGAAACGTAACGAAAAAAGGGGCTAATGATGATGGGCATACCAGTTTGCAATACAGTGTGCTATTTGCACGGGACCTTGTTGTTTTTTTTGGTCCATCCTTATGACTAGACACTGTTCCTTGCCAGACCGTCCATTCTGCACTACTGACAAGGGCCAAATAAACAAAAATTGAACACAATGATAATGTCTTGCTTTTAAAACTGTTTATAATAATGAGATTGTGTTATATATGAAGAGCCCCGAGGAAGAACGATCTAAGACGCTTTTTCAACGAACCCCAGTTAATGGCGCCATCTGTTTAAGCTTTCTGTGTAACAATTAATTTCAGGTAAAAACTATCAGAGTCACATCGAACCAAGGCCCTTCTAAAATGGCCTCCTGGACAAATACGTCCATCGTACCCTTTATTTGACCTTAATTTGACTGAAAAGTGGAAGTCAGTTGTTGTACTGGTAACTATGATTCGTATTAAACATCATTTTGAAGTTGTAATTAAACCCACACGTTGTTCTGTTCGGGTCAAGCATTCTCATCCAAAAGTCTGTTTTGCCTTTTATGCGAAAAGACAAAAATGTGACTTAGATCATTCTTCCCCTGGACTCTTCATATATATGTATGTAATTTGTAACTCACCGGTCCTATACTGATACCTTTAGTAAATTTATCATCAGCACAGATATGATCGTAACACATCTTTAATGCTTTCTCTCTAACTGATGATATATAACATTTCTCATATATATCCAACACATCTAAAATTATAAACACAATCATCATGTTTCAACAAGGAAGGTGACACAACCTGATACAAACATATGGTAGTGAGTGGAAGTGTCAGTTTAACATCAACATAACTAGGTTATATGGGACTAACATATGGTACATCTAGTGAGTGGAAGTGTCAGTTAAACATCAACATAACTAGGTAATATGGGACTAACATATGATACATATTAATGAGTGGAGGTGTCAGTTAAACATCAACATAACTAGGTAATATGGGACTAACATATGATACATATTAATGAGTGGAGGTGTCAGTTAAACATCAACATAACTAGGTAATATGGGACTAACATATGATACATATAGAGAGTGGAGATCAATTTTACATAACTAGGTTAAATGGGACTAACATATGATACATATAAATATCAAATTCAATAGCTACAATGCAACAATGTAGACCCCTTTGGTCCCCAAAACCCTCTCGATAAGAAATGGATAGGACTTTATCAAATAAAGAACTTACAATATGCTATATCTAGAAACCAGGTGTGTGGAGTATATAAATCAGCCAATGAACAATTGTTTCTCTGTGCTGGCCAATCAATATTCTCATAATCTTCTGTATATAGTTCCTGTATCGACATAAATAAACAATTATTTTACAAATTTTATTTACAATTTAATTCTATTATTCTGTAACTTTAAATATCAACATTTCTGCTGACATATGAATGTAAAATTACAGAAAACTCTAAAAACAAAACTTTACAGCATTAGAAATACTTATTATTGTTCGATTTTTTAGTCTGAAGACTAAAGAGAGATAACTCTTAACAGGAGGTCCACCAAATATGGAATCACTATCAGACCACTATAACAAATAATTTTCCAGGTGTTTCTATCAAAATTCAAGCGAAAAACAGTTATAAAGCATGTACTGCTATTTATATAAAGTGTAATTTAAATGAACCCAACATTTTTTTTTTGAGATATTTTCATAACAAGACAATATTACCTTACGTAATGATAAGATCAGTTCATCTTCTTTAGCTTTAAATCGTTTACCGTAACAGAAAGCCATGGGTAGATAGACTTGACGACAGTGACACCATAATTTAGACGGATGTACAGGTATCCAGTCAGGTAAAATCCTGTAAACATACATCCAATATATAAACCATAGAAACACAGAGCATCAATCCTTTTTTGATCATGTATGTAGAATAACTTTCGATCTTCAGATAAATTTGTATTTGTTCATAAAGCATTGAACATACATGTAGCTTCTTATTGATGTATTTGATACATTAAAACAACAAAAGTTTTTCAAGGGGCTATAGTTTAGTTAAAATTCTTAACTTCAGTCTGAGAATGATTTGTGAACTCAGGGCCTGATGCAGGTTATTATAAAGTTAACTTCAACCTAATGCATTGGTCATGGTTGCAATAGCAGGGTGGAGAATTTTGCCGGACCTGCAGCGTTTCTACCTACTCTTCATCAAATTCTAACTGCCATGGGTCCTTTTACGTGCACCTTGGTTATGCTGAACATACAAGTGACTAGACAACACCTGTCAGTCACATAGACGCTATCCCTGACAATTTGGAACTGGGCTTCAAAATTCCTCCGATTCTAACTTAACTACCAATTGGAAGGTAACTAACAACTATCTTATAAATAAGAAATTACCACATTTCTGGAAAGAGAGAATGTAAACCATCCCAACTATAAACATTTAATATAGCCAACCAAAACTTGCCCCAGGATGGAATACCTTTAGCTGTACCTGAAATACATAAACCTTATCTTAACCCTTTAGCTATACCGGAAATATATAATAATAAAACCTTTTTTAACAGCAAAAACATGATTTGTCACTGGTTTGTGTAAAAGAATTTAGAGAAGTCTGCCAATCTACCTGTTGAATTCAGTTGTTCACGTCCCTTCATCGGATCAAATCTCATGTTTCCAGACTGATATATCAATTTATATCTGGAAATCCTATTAAATGCTTCTTGACTAGACTGAATTTTTTTGTCATATTTGTCAAGCTTTTTAATTTTAACCCTTTGAGCGCAGAGTAACTGAAAATTTTGTGGCCTCTACACTAGGTGTTTGGGATCAAGATGTCTGAAGTCTTCATTAAACAAGTGCATACACTACAATATCTAAAATCACAGATTACATTTTTACCTAAAGAATGAAGCACCGGTCTAGCTTTTATTGCTATATACATCATAGTTACCTAAAGAATGGAGCATCTGTCTGGCTTTGATTAAATCTGGGTCGCTGGATGGCACGCCCAGTAATCTCATCACTACATAGTTTAACGCACAACCAAATACTGTTGGTGGACCTTCAATATGTCTGGTGAGAAAAAAGTGAAAAAACGATAGATTACACAGATTTTATTGGCTAAATTATCAGGATTAAGATTACTAAAGGTTAGGACATTGGACTTGTGACTAGACTCTCCCACTCTTGAATTCCAACAATATTTAAAAACACAGTCTCAAAACTACAACTGTGGAAAGTTTACAAGGCTTGGCAGACCAGGGGCCTGTTTCACGAAATTTTAACTAGTATAAAATCCAAATTTTAGTAATTTGATTGGATAATATTAGATTGATTTTAGTGCTTAGCCAATCAAAATTGAAGTATCTACTAAAATTTGGATTTTATCTTTAGTAAAAATTTCGTGAAACTGGGCCCAGGGCAATAACTCTTAAAAAGTAATAATTCAGGGGTCTTTCTTATAATTTGTTGATTTGCAGAATATTTACAAGAATTGTGAACAGACGATTCAATCGAAAGGCCTTATTAAAATATATACATTCGTGAAATGTAGAAAATAACTTACAGTCCCCAGCCTCCGTCAGGACATTGTACAGATCGTAAATAACGGATCATTTCTAGAGTTTGAGCTTCAGTAAACTTACTTCCTGTTATATAACAACATATAACTAAACCTGTTAAATATATAATATAACATATAACTAAACCTGTTAAATATATAACATAACATATAACTAAACCTGTCACATATATGACAACTAAACCTGTCAAATATATAACAACGTATAACTAAAGCTTTTAAATATATAACATCCTTCACATGAATTACTGAAACAATTTATAATTTCAGTGTCAGCAGTGATAAGATAACCATCACCACAATGTAAAGATGCTATGACGTATCATGTCGTAAAATATGTATGCCAACGGTGCTTTGTGCATGTGACATGGAAGATTATTGCTTATTTATGTTCTAATTTTTCATTTTCACAAAATCCTGATTTGGACGGAAAACATTCTATAACTTGACTGCACTGGCTGACTTTTTTGTACTACAGAATGCTAATCCCGCCAATCACAGCTCTTGTTACAAATCTCCAATCATTGAAAGTTATTTTCCGCCTGAAGTGTGAAAGGATGTTCCTGTACGATATCGAACCAACTCAAATTTTTACAGTCTGTCATTTAAGAACATGTTACCCTTATCGACCTTATCACTGTCTCGATCACTCAGTAATCTTTTAGAGTTCACATTTTTACAGTTTGTCATTTAAGAACAAGTTACGCTTATGTAAGTCTCAACTTCTCAGTAATCTTTTAGAGCTCACATTTTCACAATTTAACATTTAAGGGATAAAAATATGACATGACCCGACAGTTAGTAAACTTTCTTCTTTTGGCCCTTTGAGAGAGAGAGAGAAATGGGGTTTAACGTCCACTCAACACAAACTAGGTCATTTCGGGACTAACATATGGTTTTTAATTTTTTTTTATTTCAATAATTCGCTTGCGCGTAGGGGTCTTTAGCAGTGGGAGGAAACCGGAGGACCTGGAGAAAACCCACGAGGTTGGACAGGCGACCCTACTCCTTGTCATGTACAACCGGGGATTTGAAACCACGCCAGTCGACTCAATGACAGACTTTATGATACAGCGCGCGCACGCTAACCATTCAGCCATCCCCCCCCCCCCCCTTTTGGCGCTTTGAATCTTGTGATAAAAAAGTTAACCGACCTGGCATAAGAAAAAGTGGACCACCATAATCTCCAGCCCAATGGCCGTCTTCAGCTTGTAATTTACTGTAGAATTTCATTCCGTTATATGATGCCTGACTAGCTTTAGTTGGTCTTGGTAGATCTGGTGCATATTCACTCTGTCACAAAGAAAAAAAAAGTGTTAATATTAATTTGAAATTTTGAAGGCAAAACTTTAAAAAGGAAATCCAACTTTAAAGACACATTATGTAAGATTTGGATAAAGAGCTGGGCGTTTTCGTTATAATAGTTCAAATATAGATAATTCAAAATTAAAATATTGAAAATTTCATTCTAATTACTATATTCCGAGCAACGTTATCACTGTTTGAAGTATTGACACAGATTGTTTATTATTGTAGCAATGTTACTTGTTAATCAAGACTCTTAAATTAAATGGTGATCACATTTTAATTTATTCACATCTGCGCCATCCAATGATCTTGAGAGTTGATTATAGGCTTGCCATGTGAATAAATGTCTAAATAAACACTTTTATAACATCTGAAGCCAAAATAAAAGCCTGTAATAGGCATATTTAGCTCTTACATAATGCATCTTTAATTAGAGCTTTTTTCTGGCTGTGTAGAATGAGGGGCACCCTATTTATGATCTCCCTTTAAGAAATCTAATTATCCATTCCCTAACCCTAGAATTTAACTGGAGGACAGCAGACATTAAAGAAGCTAAGTCTCTAACTCAATATCATCCAAAGTCTTTGACATTGAAAACACAAATTATTTGTGAATTTAAATCAACATTGATGTTGTGGTCTTACCGGGAAAAGATGGGCTTCTGATATCCAATATTTAAGACAAAATAAAAATGTTACCATTGGTACACGAATAGTGTACCATAATGCGTTTTAGCGCCATTTGTAACAAGGGACTCAAAGAACGAGGCTAGACATATTCCACAGTTTATATACATTCATATTATATTATTATATGCGTTGCGACCAATTTGTGTCAATTTCTAAGTCCCAAATATTAGCGATTTAGCTCCTTTAAATGACAATTTACATAAACTGTCCATTTCTCCATCATTCTATACATACTCCATCTTCCTCAGCAGTCAGAACAGAACAGTAGGAGAACTAAACCCTATTTCATTTCATTTCTATACATACTGTATCAAGTCCTAGAGAATATTTCTATACATACTGTATCAAGTCCTAGAGAATATTTCTATACATACTGTATCAAGTCCTAGAGAATATAGTTCAAGCATCGTCTGTTCTCTCTCGGCTTTTTCTCCATCAGGAATATAATACCACGTCTGTCGACCTTCCACATTTGTTAGACGCCATCTAGTTAGATCTGTTGCGGGCGTTGTTTTGTACGGACCACCACGATTTCTTCGTCCGTTGTTGTTATATTTATACGGCATGTTTTCTTGTGAAGTTTGTAGCAATCAGTTGTAGGCTACATAAATAAATGAACCAGTCCTGAAAAATATTGAATTTACACATTTAAAATTCAAACAAGTAGTAATACAAAAATCTGTAAGATTCTTAAATTGTACAAGTTAAATAATGTTCATAAAAGATTATTATTTCTAACTAATAATAATAATGACACATTTTGCACCAGCATGTTCAAGGAATGAAACACAGTAACAACTAATGTGATATGAGATATGTTAAAAAATTGGCAGATTTGTCTGGATTTGGATCTGAAATGAAATGAAATGAAATGGAGTTTAACGTCCTACTGTTCTGCTCCTAACCTGGGCTAATGAAGACGGGCATACGCCATACAGTGTGCTATGAGGGAAATTTTGCCCGGGTAGCGGCACTACGGCCTACTCTTATATCGAATTCCAACTGCCAGGGGATCTTTTACGTGCACGCCAATGTGTACACGGGACCTCGGTTTTTCGTCCCATCCGGACGACTAGACAGCTTTCCTTGTCAGCCCCTCCGTCCTGCATCACTGACAAGGGAGAACCACGCCGGAAAATCTGGATGAACTTTCTCGGCCAATGCAGAGATCGAACACTCGACCTCCAGGCTTGCGAGCTAGCGTCTTACCCACTTAGCCACGTGATCCCCGGATTTGGATCTATATAGCTTGCAAATATCTGATTCCACAAAACGCTGTTTAGAGGTCCTGTGAACCAGGTCCTTTGACGCTGAAACTGGCAGTGGTTTGGTTAGAATGTGATGATCCATGTTATATAGAAGCTAGCCATTTCAGTCCATAAGTTTTTAAGCTTACCTGCTAGAGAATAGCCATGGTCTTATCCCTACACAATTATACATGAGTAACTTCCCTTCCTTTTAAGGAGCGAGCGTGAAAGTCCGTAAAACGTTATAACCACTTAATCATTATGCATCCATAATGTGACCAAACAGAACGCGTATATTAATTATACATAAGGTTACAACAGTTCAATCAAAATACAGTTGTTATTTCTTTCCAATCAACCGCTGTGTCTACTTTCAGTTTATTATTGCCCTACTTACCTTTTATCACTTAAAATTCGTCTCGAAAGATTCGTCAAAATTTAATTACGTGAGTTTCAATACAAAGTCTATGCCCACTATAAAATCACCTTATTCATGCATAATTCAGTCGATCAGTTCATATTAGAACAATTCGATAACGGGGGCGATAACGGTAAAATAAAAAACTGACAGTATGGATACCCCTCTCTATGAACTCAATGGTCAGATACCTGTTAGCCAATCAGCAATCTTCTTACATCGACTGACTTTCCTAAAAATAACTCACGGGCTGTCTGCCGCTTGCATGGATTTCTCTTATTGTAGTCTGAATTATCCAGACGCTAGAACTGGAGGTCGGGAAGGAAAGAAACGAACTTGCCAGACGTTAGACTCGGATATCAGAAGTCGAAACTTCTAGGCGTAATGATTTTTTATTTTTGTGTGTAAAAACTGTGTTTAAATTTCACCCGACAGATCCTTTCCGGTACTATCTAAAAATGGTCCCACTACTGGTGTCTTCCGCCTTACTCCAGCCACAGTAGTGGCTCGTCCGACGGAGTTCCTTTGCGCAAGTTTTTAAGTCAAATGACTACAAAAAGTTTACTGGCCTATAGCCCCCTTAATTTACACATAAACTGACCCCAAACTGTACTGCACATAGCTTAAAATATAATAAACCAATTCCCATTGAAATAAGGGTGAAGTCTTACCGCATAATTGGGGGTTGGATGGCTGAATGGTAAGCGTGAGCGCGCTGTATCATAAAGTCTGTCATTGAGTCGACTGGCGTGGTTTCGAATCCGCGGTTGTACGTGGCAAGGAGTAGGGTCGCCTGTCCAACCTCGTGGGTTTTCTCCGGGTCCTCCGGTTTCCTCCCACTGCTAAAGACCCCTACGCGCAAGCGAATTATGTAAATAAAATTAAACCATATGTTAGTCCCGAAATGACCTAGTTTGTGTCGAGTGGACGTTAAACCCCATTTCTCTCTCTCTCTTACCGCATAATTATATGATTTGATGAAACCCAACTCTTACGCGAAATTTGGCGAGATTTCATCTGGCTGGTGTCATGGCGGCTTACAATACTTACCCGGTACATTAAAAGAAATGTCGCTTTGAAAATGTAGAACGCATTACCACAAAGAAAAACTGCTCAATATCTATTTTAGTGGTCCAGTCTTTACTATTTGTGATAGAATTACCTATGTCAATACAAACTGTATGACGTGTTGACAATTGTGCGTTTGAACCTATTTGTACTTGCGACTTGCGTAAGAAGTTTTAGAATGTATCAATTGTAGCGTTAAACGCAGTTTAACGCTACGACATTTGTAGCTAGGTACTAACATGTAGTTTGTCTTTTCACAAGTTTGTTTTTAGTACGGTCCTCCTGCACTTACAATACGTGTCTCGCTCATGGGCGTATATATTTAGCCATATTACAAAATGCTAGATGCAGCCTTGAATTATTTTGACGTTTGTTTCACCTCGACTGACTTGGCCTGCTGCGGTAAATTGAATTTAGGAAAAAAAGTCACAGGTAAAAAAGCCACAGTAAAAAAAACACAGTAAAAAAAAACCCACAGGTAAAAAAGTCACAACTTATATATATTGTATTGTAGAGTGAGTATATCTTTGATATTTTAAGTTATTTGTCTTTGAGTTAATTAGGTTTGGTTGAACAGTGCCCCCTGTACCAACAACATCTGCGAGGGATGGAACAACAACTTCTAAAATCTTGTCGGCCAACACCATCCATCCATCTGGAGAGTGGTGGAGTGGTTCCAGAAGGAATCAGCCACAGTCCAGACTGTCGTCGCCCAGGATGCCATCGGAAATCCACCTGTCAGGAAGGTCAAGAAGAAGTTTGTAAAGATGCAGACACAACTACGAAATCTTTGCAGAGATCGTGCCAGCGGTGCCAAATCCACCCCAGAATTCTTACATGGAGATGGATGGAACATTAGAATTAACAAAGAGTATTGATGTGCTAGAATGTTGAATGAGCTGAATGTGCTAAAATGTCTGATGTACTGATATGTCAAATGTGCTATAATGTATTAAAATGTCAGATGTGCTCATATGCCATAATATGTGCTAATACGTTATTGTTTATATTGTTATTGAATTTGTTATTGAATTTGAGATGTAATAAAAAAACTGTGACTTTTTTCCTGTGTTTTTTTTACCTAGGCAAATTTGTGACTTTTTCCTGTGACTTTTTTTCCGCGCACCGGTAAATTAACGGAAATGCTGGTATCTGGACAATACGATTGTGAGCCTGTTTCTACGTATCCTGAACTGAATCGGGACTTGGAACAAGAATTGTCATTCTTCAAGCGCCAGTTTTCTGCCAAATCTATTTCGCTTGTGCACGAAGCGTTCCTCAGTATGTCACCTGAAGTGAGGCAGATGTTCCCTTCTGTCGAAGCTCTTCTCCGTCTCAAACTGCTGAACCCTGCTATTTCCCGCTCAGCCAAGCGATCCTTCAGCACTCTGCGCCGTATCAAAACTTGGCTGCACAACTCCCTGACGCAAAAACGACTGAACCACCTGATGGTGTGTGTGGTGCATAATGGCATCCTTCGTGATCAGGACCCAAAGCATGTCGCCAGGATATTCATTGAGAACAGTCCTGGTCGTAGAATGAACGTTAGGCTGGCGAACCAGGGGTGCATGGATAGACATTTGGTAGTAACCCCAACCCAACTCTCCCTGAAAATATAGCATATCATATGTTACTCATGCAATATCTAAGGTAGGAATTTAATATTTAAAAACTTATAGAGATATTTAAAAAAAGATATTTAAAAAATTATAGAGATATTTAAAAAAATATAGTTGCTGGTAGGGTTAAATATTTTTAAATGGCGGGCAAGTTGTTTATTAAAAGTAAAATAAACCTTCTTACCTAGGTGAAGTCAATCATACCTATTAAATAAGAAGTGGTACAGTGTGGTCTAGAAAAACGGTTTTAGGGGATATGTATATACACTCCTTCACGGGGAGGGGGGGGGGGGCAGTTCTTACTGACTAACATATGGTCCAATTTTTTTAATGTAATAATTCGCTTGCTCGCAGGAGCTTTAGCAGAGAGGGGGGGATGGGGTCAGAGGGCCAGAGGGCCAGAGGGCCAGGCAAAGCCGTATTCCTTGCCCCGGGAAGCGATACCACACCACTTGACTCAATGACAGCTCATATAAACTAAAGCCCGCGCCTTTATACAACAGGAAACCCCATTGCATTTTATTTCATTTCCACGACCACATCAATAATTTATAAACCGATGTCTGTGGAATTGTAGTAATCTTGTTTTAATGTGAAGAAGTGTGGGAATAATATATAGACCAACAGGAGATAATTAACTATTGATCTTAACTGGAGACTGTCAACCCTCTAACTGAAAATGATACACACACAGTGACATTCTAACGGAAGCATAATGTAACATGGCCACAATAGGCTTCCATACATTCCTATTAGACGGAGAGAACATTTGAAACGGGAATAAAATATAGCACAACCCAACTGTGCATCAAGGAGAGGTGACCATACAAAAAATTAGGTTACTGTGGGGATTATTTTGTTCTAGCGGACCAAGGCCAGGGTGATCGATGAGGGTAAACGATGAATGGATGAACTGTGACTATATTTTGTGAATGAACAAAGCGTGGGAACCAGCTTTTTGTTTATGTATCAACAACCACCCCTTCCCGTTTCATTCATCAAACTTTTAAATCTCACGTTTTCTAAATATTTTATTTTGGTTGTTTGTTTGTTTATTTTTGGGGGAGTGGAATAATTTCCTTCGTCGTGTTTCTATTTAACTTTTAAAGGAGCAGGCAAGGTTGGACGCGCTAAACGTTGATACAAATGTGTTTTAAATGGAAACGAGACGGGTTTACGAAGGTAAATCAAATTTGGAACCACGTAGGCCTGCAGCCAGAATTTCTAGCGTGAAATTTCGCTACAATATGCGACCAGTATAAAATAGATGAGCATAACTCCGGTTAGTTCCAAGCCAAATGTTTGAACAAACTCGATTTAGGGCCAGATGAAAATCATGATAATTGTCAACTAACAGTTCTGAAGTTGACATAAATTTAAATATTGGCGAAAATATCTAATACGTTACACAAGGAATTTGGAAATCCATTAACCGTACAAGATGTTATCTCCCTTTATGCCAAATGTCGGTCATTATTAATGGCAGTATTTTATTCAATAAACTGAATCGTATTGAACAACAGACAAGGGCGTATATATAAGTTACCCCCAAACAGTATTTCTACTTTAATAGCTGTAAACCTTTAATTTGTTTAGTTGCGGGGGTTGGGGGGGATAGCCGAATGGTAGCACGTGCGCGCTGCGCTGTATCATACGGTCTGTCATTGAGTCCCCGGTTGTACATGACAAGGAGTAGGGTCGCCTGTTCAACCTCGTGGGTTTTCTCCGGGTCCTCCGGTTTCCTCCCACTGCTAAAGACCCCTACGCGCAAGCGAATTATTGAAATAAAATTGAACCGTGTGTTGGTCCCGAAATGACCTAGTTTGTGTCGAGTGGACGTTAAACCCCATTCTCTCTCTCTCTCTCTCTCTCTCTCTCTGTTTAGTTGCGAAATGCAAGATGTGAAATTCTAGCTGCAGCCAGTGCAGGCCCAAAGAACTGAACTCCTAAACTACAGAAATGGTATCACCGACATAGACGGTATGGTACATTTTTATAGACCTCCGAGTCCCTTGTACACATTGGCGTGTACGTAAAATAACCCCTGAGAGTTAGATTTCGAAATAAGAGTAGGACTTAGTGCCGCTGTCCAGGCAAAATTTCCCTCATGGCACACTGTATGACGTACGCCCGTCTTCATTAACCCAGTCGGTTCATTTCAGTAAGGTGGTTCTCGGCTAGAACATCCAGGTATTGCTGTTATGCTTGGCAAATGCCGAGAAAAACATTTTGATTTCCAAGTCTTGTTTAGGAATGTGCGACTCGCATGGGACGAGTGTTCGAGACCAATACGTTTATGCATTGGCGTACAGGTAAAGAAAACAACTAGTATTTGAAGAAGAGAAGGCGGAAATGTCCCTCTTCGTGTTAATTGTTCCACTTTGCATCACAAGATGTAACCATAGCAATGAAAATTGCAATATCTTGGTCCTACAGAAACCGAATTATCATGTTGGTGAGAGGTTAAAAGTTCCTCGGGATTTTC